TGTGATTGCCCTTACGTGGCCAAAGAAGTTTCTGGGAGAAGTCTCTTAATGGACATGTCCTCCTCAGCACTGCCTGCATTACATGGATGTGGGTTCTGTTTGGCATTTGGAGAGCTGTTCTTCCTGGGCTACTGGGTTAGTCCAGTATGTCTAAGCTTGCTGAATTTTTCCTTATTGCTGCTGGAGTCAGGACATGGTCCTCACTCAGGGCAGGGCCATCTCCAACCTGGTCTGCCACAGGCCCAGGGGAGTGATGGGCAGCTGCACAGGGCAGACAAGAGGAAGAATTTCAGACGTATTTAGGTCCAGTAGCCAGCTGACTTGTGGTGTTGACAAAGAATATTGAATATACCGTGGACTGCCAGAAGAACAAACAAATCAGTCTTGGAGGAAGTACAGCCAGAACGCTCCTTAGAAGGTGGGATGGTGAGACTTGATCTTATTTAATTTGAACATGTCATCAGGATCAACTAGTCGCTGGAGACAGATATCATCTTGGTAAAGCAGAGGGTCAGCAAAAAAAGAGAGAGACCCTCACTGAGACAGACTGACACAGTGGCTGCAACAATGGGCTCACACATATCAACGATTGTGAGGATGGCGCAGGATTGGGCAAGGTTTTGTTCTGCTGTGCACGAGGTCGCTAAGAGTCAGAGCCGACTCAATAGCAACTAACAACAACAAGAGCCACTCAAACACAAAGAAGGAGGATTTGAGCAAGCATTTAAGTTCTGCTTCCAGTAAAAAACACTGCACATTTCATTTTCTGACAATACTATAAACTCACTTTTATGGCAATAGTTATAAAACCCTTAACATTTGGCTAGTACTGGTGGTGAGTTTTTTTCTCAGAAAGCCAAATGCAAGAGGGAGATTTGTGACCCCAAAACAGGCATGGGGTTTATAACATGAAGGTGTCATAAAAGCAACACATCCTAGGTACTGAGAAAAGATTAAATTCTGCACTGTGAAGTGACAGGCATGTATGAAGAATCCTTTATTTACATCCTCCGTACTTTTTTCTTTACATTATTCACGAGTAAGACCCTACAAATCTCCAGAGGGTGAACGATTCTTAATGTGCCACCAACGGACGAGGGCAAGTGGAATGATGAATAGCCATTTCCCTAACAGGTGATTTCCAGATTTATCATCTCCAGAGGGCTTTCATGGTGTGTGTTTGCCTTCCTGAGGTGCACCAGGAGCAAGAGGGCAAGCACGTGGGAGCTTGGAAGGGAGGAAGAGGCTGGCTTTGCAGGGAGCCAAAGCCTGCCTGGCCTTGTCTGGATATATTCATTTCAATGAATAGGTGCCCAGAATGTGATTAATCACAACCATTGGTTCAGAACACACTCCCTATTTGTCCAGGCATGGGCCTCTTTTTTAATTAACTCATCTACTATTTATTATTTGACCATCTGTCTGTTGGTTTGTGATACTGTCATGGCTTATGTGTTGCTATGATAGTGGAAGCTATGCCACCAGTATTTCAAATACCAGCAAGGTCACCCATGGTGGACACATTTCAGGGGAGCTTCCAGACTAAGACAGACTAGGAAGAAATGCCTGGCAATCTACTTCAAAAAATTAGCCAGTAAAAACCCTATGGATCACAAAAGAATATTGTATAATATACTGCTAGAAGATGAGGTCTAGGTTACTGGAAAGCACTCAAAATACTCAGTGGATGTAACATTGTACTCAAGCGTACCAACAACAGTGAAGATGGCACAGGACCAAGCAATGTTTTGTTCTGTTGTATTTAAGGTCTCCATCAGTCAGAGCTGACTCGACAGCAACTAACAACAACAATTATTTATTATAATGAAAAATGAAAATCTCCTGTGAAGCTAACACTGACCCTGACTTACATCCCACAATGCTCTCCTCTCCTTCCTGTCCCTCTGCCTCTTCCATCTGTAGCAACCACCACCCTGAATCATAACTTTGGGTGTGTGCATGTGTCTGTGTTTTTATAATTTTTAAAAGGTTGTAATGTTGCATGTTATTTTCTGCCAGTTAAACCATATGAAATTGCCTTTAAATGCTTTTTAACTCAATATTATTCGGGTACGATTCCTATTGCATGCACTACAGTTCATCCACTTCATGGTAGACAACATTTTCTCCCTGTTAGCCGTCATTTGGATTGTTTCTAGGTTTTGGCTCTCTAAGCAATGCTGCATAGCCTTTCTTTTCTTCTGCAATGCATGTGGAAGTTTACTTTGGTACACACACAGAAGTGGAATTGCTGGGTCATAGGGTCCGTGAATGTTCAATTTTATAAGGGAACGACAGACTTTCTTCCAAAGTGGCTGCACTGATTTCACTCCCACCATCAGTAAGCCACCTGTGAATTCATGTCCTCTCTACTGCCTCTCACTCTTTGCCAGTCTCATTGATGAAAATGATGTATCTTTATCATCTTGATTTGCATTTCCTGGACCACTAGTGATTTTGAAAATCTCTGCATAGGATTATTGGCCATATATGTCGCCTCTTCTGTGGAATCCCTGTGCAAGTCTTTCACCCATTTTTCTATTAAGTTGTTTGAGCTTATCGATTTGTGGAAGTTACTGATATATGCGTGATAGGATCCCACACTGGTTACATATATAGTAAATATTTCCTCCCAGGTTGTGACTTGCCTTTTATATTTCCTTCGCAGTGTCTTATAATGAATAGAAGTTTAATGAAGTCAAACATAGCTACCTTTTCTAAGCAGTGCTTTTTGTAGCACTGCTGCAATGAACCTTCATCACAATCCTGTATGGAGGGGAGGGCTGGCTTTCTGCAAGAGACAAAGAAAGCAGGAGGTGGAACGAGACAGCCATTTGGCCCAGGCCTTAATGTTTATAAAAGGCCTTAAATCAACTTTGTATTCATTATCTCCAAATGAGGTCACCAAGAGCCACAAAGATTCAGCGTCAGGAATGAAAGCAGTCCCTGCAGCTTGAGGCCAGTGCTCCATTATTTGTCACATACTGAGAATTAAGAGGTTTTAATCTTGTAAGTATGTGAATAACACAGTTAAATTCCATTCTATTGCTCTTGCTAAAGTACTTTGTTAAATGTAAACATTAAAAATCTACCATGATAGGTATTTTAAAATACTTAGAGTGACTAAGGAGATCCCCAAACAGGAAGCTGCTCAGGCCTCTTTCAACTCTGAGAGGTTCCAGGGAAGGAGAGTGACAGTTTACACAGTTAGTGAGCTGCAGAACTGGGATTCACACCCAAGTGGGTCAGGCCCCAGAGTGCAGACCCTTTCTGCTGTAACACGAGGCCACATGACAAGGAAAAGTCACCCCAAACTAAACACAGCAGAAAAAGTGCCCCCAGTAGGCACTCCCTTCAGGACACTGCAGCCGGCACCATGGCCTCCACTGAAGCAGTATCAGGCCCTGCCTCTCTCCCTGGACCCCTGGCTTTCCTGGAGCAGGATCAGACCCTGCCTCTCTCCCTGGGCCCCTGGCTTTCCTGGGAGCGGCTGGTCAGACTGCTGAGGGCCCTTCTCAACATGAACAACAGGGGCATGAGCCTTGGTGGCCCTGAGGCTTTTCCTGGGCTCCTCCCTTGCATCCCACTGCCCTCTGCAGCCAGGCAGGCCATCACCACATGGTTGGGGATGGGGAACATGTGGGTGAGTGTGAGGGGGGTAGTGTGTGTGAGCATGTGGGTGTGTGTTGTGTGCAAGTGTGTGTGAGAAGGTGTCTGTGTGAGTGTGGGAGTGTATATGTGAGCATGGGTAAGTGTGTTAGTGTGTAGGTGAATGTTATGTGAGTGTGTGTTTATGTGAGCATGTGTGAATATGTGTGTGTGTGAGTGTAAGATGGTGTATATGTGTGTGAGTATGTGTGAGGTATGTGGGTGAGTGTGTTCGTGTGTGTAGGTGAATGCCACGTGAGCACATGTGAGTGTGTCTATGAGTGCATGAGTGTGTGTAAGCATATATATGAGCATTGTAAGTATGTGTGAGTGTGTGTGTGTCTGTGTGAAGGCTCCAGAAGTGAAATCGATGGGTAGGGATGGGATCTGAGGTGGGATGGGCAGCCAGTCTGCTCAGAGCAGCGCAGCGCAGCACTGGCCATGGGGTGGCACGATTTTCCTGTATTTTTCACAGACGGCTTCACAGACAGAAGCCACCACACATGGGGGTCACTGGACAGAAAGACAACAGGAGCATCCTGTGGCAGCTGTCTTCACCCCATTTTCTTCCCCATTGACCTTCAACGACTCCCTAGCATATGGCAGGTAAATGTCAAACTCCTCATCCTGGAACTCAAGGAGTCAACTAAACCAAAAAAAACCAAACCCGTTGGTCCCAAGCCTCTAATCCCCGTCTGTAAAATGGGATAAATGAACAGTGTCTAACATACTGCTGAGTAACCTGGTGCCCCTTCTCTGCCCTCTTCTCGACCCTGGCCTCTTCACCCTGTCTGCCCACAGTGCAGCCTCCATCCCAGGGCCTGTGTCTTGACCACCATCCCCAAGCATCCCTCTTCTCCACAGCACAGCCCCACTGATGTGCCCACCCCACTGGCCGACCCTTGCCCGGCGCCTCCTGCCCCCTGCATGGAGCCTTCCCTAGCCTGGCCCTCAGGTGCACACCCTCTCTGAACCTCCTCCCCTCCCTCCTCACCTCCCACCCATCACTCTGCATCTGCTGAGAGTCCCCCATGGAGTGTGCACACCCCTCTCCGCAGCCACCCTGGAGAGCCCATGGCCTGGCTCACTCTGCCTGGTCTTCGCTGACCATGCCCACTTGGGGAACATGGAAGGCACCTAACAAGCAGCCCCATCCGTCTGCTGCTGAGAGCGGGGTAGCCACCTAAGGAACCCCTGGGTCTCCCTGTTGCCCTCCTGCCTGTGAGAGGACTCCACGCAGCCCAGCTGCAGATACATTTGTCTACAGCGGAGGTGGGACTCCTCTCCCAGGGAGGATGTGTGCGCCGCCCCCGTCCCTGCCCTGCACCAGCCCAGGCGGCACCCCTGCCTACCTTCCTGATGCCTTCTGAAGGACTGGACACGCAGTTGTCAGCCCCGCCATTCTTGCTGATGGTCCGCCAGAGCTCAGCAAATGTGCTGTCCTGCTCCAGGGGGTTGGTGCCCTTGGCTCGGAAATATTCATACACAGCAGAGTCCCGGACGGTGCCATAGGAGAGCTCCACCTGCTTGGACAGGTCCTGGAATGTCCTGAAAGGCAGAAAGACAGTGAGGTGTCGCTGCATGCCACACAGTCACACTCCAGCTGGCCCTCCTGCAGTCCAGCCCTGCCTGGCCCACCATCCACCTTCATTCTCAGCCCCGTGGCGCGACCCCAGCAGCCCCAAGCAAGCCTATCACGGTGATGCTTCCTCAGCACAGATCAACTCGATAAGACCAGGTCCTGTGCTGAGCTCGGGATAAGGGGATGAATGAGGCGTGGTTCCTGCCTTCAAGGAGCTTATAGTCTAGCAGGAGAAGCAGACATATAAGCAGACAATCCCAATTTAAAATAGTCAGGGCAACAATGAGAGGCCATCCCCTGAAGCCTCCAACAGGGGCTGGGCAGGAAACAGAAACATGTTGGCAAGATGTATGATGATGACACTTGGTCCCTGACACTCAGGGTTGGTGTGGAGCAGACACACTCAGCAACAATGTCCCCTTCCAAGCTTGCAGAGCGGTTCTGGAGCCCAGCCAGTGCTTGCCTTTCCAGCACCCATGCCAAATTTGTTTTTCAAGAAAATAAAGGAATCTGAATTTTTATATGAAACCTCCTGATTTTTGACTGTTGACAATTATTTAAAAGATGCTGTATGGGCCACCATGATGAAGATCAAACAAAGCACTCCTGAGAGCCTTGGGTTTGTGAGCTCTGCTACCCGTGCAGGAGAGGCAGGTGGCAGGGGCCAGGGAGGGGAGCTCTGGGGAAGGCTCAGCAGCAGCCCAAGAGCTCTTTGGGGAGGGGGATAGTCAGACCACAGAGGGCCTCCTGCTCGAGACTCACTCCACAGGTTTCATCCATTCCCTTCTGCTGGCCCAGAAACAGAGCTCAGTGCTCATTTCAGTGCATTACAGATGAAAGGAAACATACAATAACACATTCGATGAAGAAATCTTTCTAATTATTGTTCATTATTTATATCTAATTGCAGCAAGATGTTCCTTTGCTTGAAGGGCCCCAAAGGTTGTAACTCTGTAGTCATTTGCCTGTAATGAAAGGAGGGGAAATCTTTTTTTCCCCATGTTTTTATTTTTTCTCTTGATAATACAAACACAAGGCATTGATGAATGGGAAACATCGGGATGAATTACACAGCTGAGTCTAAATACTGAACTGCTCTAAATTACTGCAGTTTCCACGAGTAGGAGTGAATGCATACCTACCGACCGACCAGGGAGATCGGAACTACTGCTTCATCCCTGCATTTGAAACGGAGATTTCCTCTCTCTTCTCGGTACTTATTCATGGTTGTGCCCATGTCCAGAGGCTCAGGGAATATCTCCCTGAGACAAGCAGACAGCCTGAATGTTTATGGCTTCCACCCATTTCTGTTCCACTCTAAGTCACTGTGCCCATCTCACAGCATCACCGCCATCTTCCTGTGCCAGCCTCACACGCAGCCTCCTGGCTGCCACCCATCTTCTTTGTTGGCCCAGGGCTTTTTCCCGTCTCAGACGCATACCCACTCCTTCTGCAAAGGTTTCTAAGCTGAACAGCATGACAGCACACAGTAGGTGCTGCCGTTACCTTCAGGGTAGATGAAGGCAAGCTGCTTGGAGGTCTGAGCAGGTGATCTGACTCTACCAAGCAGTCACCTGCCTGGACAGTCATTCTCTTGCCAGAGTACACAGGTCTAGAAGTGACACACATGGAGAAGTAAAGGAGGACAGGGACCGCCAGCCAGCCATGCTGTCAAGTCACCACCGGCAATCAGCAGAAGACAGATGTTTAAGCCAGACAGGACACACGTATGAGCTAGCAAGGGGAGCTGAGCCAGAAGGAGGCTGTACCCACAGTACCCATAATTTGGCACTTTTCTCAAATCAGTCTCTTTGGCAACAACTGCTAGGAAGCATCCAGTTTCCCCCAGCACAGAGAGAGGAACAAGATCTGCCCATTATGGATGGGCTCTCTATAAACCTAATGTGCATGATGCAACTGGTTGAAGTCATTCAACAATTTACTTCACCATATTTTACTGAGTGCATACTAGGAAAGGCACAGTGACACGCAGTTGTTGTTAGCTGCTGTCGAGTTGACCCCATACTCATGGTGACCCCATGCTCAACAGAACAAAATGCTACCCAGTCCTGCACCATCCCCATGCTCACTTGTGGATTGGACCATTGTGATCCACAGAGTTTTCATTGGCTGATTTTCAGAAGGACATTTCCAGGCTTTTCCTCCTTCTCTGTCTTAGTCTGGAAGCTCTGATAAAACCTGCTCAGCATCACAACCAGCATCACAACACACAGAATCACCACTGACAGATGGCTGGTGGCTATGCATAAGGTACATAGGAATCAAACTGTCTCCCACATGAAAGGTGAGAATTCTACAACTGGATTACCACTGGGGCACACTCAAGGGGTTCAGTGTCGAGTGGGTGAATGGTCGAAAAGTAAACCAACAATGACAATACAGCGTGACAGGTATGGAAATAGAGGTCTGCACGGAGGGCTCTGGAAGCACAGAGGAGCTGCAGCCAACCCATGTGCCAGGGCTAAAGAAACACTTTCTAGAAGAGAAGTCTTGGAGGACCAGTGGAGGTAGCCAGATGGAGAACCAAAAGGATGGTGTTCCAGGAAGAGATGATATTATCTGTGAAGGCACTAATTATAGCACGCGTGGGCACACACCAGGAGTCAATTCAGTATATGGGCTAAATAAGAAGAGCAAAGGTTTCGAATCAGACAGACCAGGCTGTAAATCTTGCCTCTGAAGTCCTTAGCCGTTTGACTTAGACCAGCAGTTCTCAAAGTGTGGTCCTCAAAGCTGCAGTAGCAGCAGCACCCAGGACCCTATGAGAAATGCAAACCCTTGGGCCACACCCCAGACCTACTGAGTCAGAAGTTCTGGGGTGGGTTCAGCAATCTGTTTCCCAGCCCTCCAGGTGATTCTGAGGCTCACTCAAGTTAGATAACCACTGACTGAGGCAAGTCATGTAACGTCTGAGGTCTCACTTTTCTTAACTATAGAAGGAGACATGCATACCTATCTCACAGGGTATGAAGCATTTAGCACCATAGCTGGCACACAGTCAATGCCTCATAAATATCAGCTCTTTTGTCATACTGTCAATAAGTAGTTGAAATGATTGACGCACAGGCTCATGGGAAGGAGTTGAGGGTGATGTCACTAGAGAGGTCACATTTGGAAGGAAGGAGGTATGGACAAGTAGCACACCTAGGCTTCCGGGCTCACAGGATTGGAGTCCATCTTCCCCTTTGCTCACGTGTCTCCCAGTATGGAGCCTGTGGCCAATCTTGTTGTTTCCACCTGGCTGCCCGTGAAGACCTTACCCTATAAGCATGCAATACACTGCCTTGTGAGCAATCCATACCTGGAGTTAGGCACCTGGAGACTCGGGTGATGACACAGGGGGATGTGAACCCTGGATGGGCGTGGAGATGCCAAACCTTCCCTGGCAGGCAAGCTGGACCGTTGCCTGTGGACCATGCTGGGGACTGGCTCCCTGGGAAATTAGGGAGACCGTGGCAAGGAGAGGGACTCTAGGAGGATGCCTTCCACAGCACAGCCCCAAGCTGCCCATCTGGGTCTGGATTCTCTCATGAAGTATCGCCTTGCAAGTGTGTGCACTGCAAGGCTTCCCCCCCATACCAGCCCTGTGGTCTGCTTCTTATCGCCTTACTCCACCTTCTGATAATGTTTAGTGTCGGGATGCTCTCATGCAAAGCCTCCCCTCCACACTTACTTCTTTTTTTTTAATGTTTCACTTTAGAGCAGTTTTAGGTTTACAGAAACATTCAGAGAGTACAGAGAGTTCCATATGCCCCCCTCTCCCTGCACACTGCTTTTGCTATTATTAACAGCTTGCATCCATGTGGTACATTTGTTACAATTGAGGAACCAATATTGATACCTGATTGTTATTAACTAATGTCCATAGTTTACATCAGGGTTGCCTCTTTGTGTTGTACAGTCCTCTGGGTTTTGACAAACGCAGAATTTCACGTGTCCACCATTACAGTACCATGCAGAATAGGCTCACTGTCCTAAACAAGCTTATTTTTTAACCCATATCTTTTTCTCAACTATGTCCCACTGGAACTGCATTTGGGACCAACAGAGCTGTGTCTCTGCATCTTCTGCCCTAGATGGCTGATTTTCGGGTCTCCTCTAGCTGAAAGCATAGCTGACTCCTAGGGGCCTATCATACTGTCTCACAAAAGGACTTTACAAGGGTCCCTTGCCTCTGAGAGCAGCCTCCTCCAATTCGGCATGCACCTCCTGAAAGTCCCACAACGTCTCCTTCAGCTGCGGCCAAGGACAGTCCACCCAGCTTGGCACCACCTCCCGTCCACACCACTCCTCTCTCCATAAATCACCTCACTATTTCCTAGACACATGTTTATTAACAGAGATAAATGAGTTTACAGCATGTGAAAAATCAATAATACAGAGTTTGTAAATACATCTTTGCATGTTACAGAAATATTTGCATTGGTAGTGGAGATAAATACACTTACAACAAGACCATAATCAATATACAGTGTGTGTCCAACAGACTTCAACAACTGCTGGGATGCCGTAACCGTGGATCTGAGAAATCTAAATCCTGAAGCCCTATCACTCTCCGTTAAGGAGAAGAGTAAGCAGCAGTGTGGCCTGGAAGGCAGCGGAGCACGGCCTTAAAGCTACAGCCCACTGTGCCTTTGCTATCATCCCGGCGGCCTTGTTTTTCTGGCTCTGGTGTCTGACTCTCCAGGCTGCAGGAGTCAGCTGGGATTGCCGGGTGAGGATTCCACGGCCTGTGACTGAAGGCCCTCCTTCCCGCCCATTCCCTTGCCCCTGTTTCCTCTCCCAGGCCTCCTCCCGTGTGAGGTCTCCTACCTGGGCTTCTCTTCTCCATATTGTCCCTTCTCTTCCACCAGACCTGGGGCCTTCAAGATCATCAGGACCTCAGGGAACGGCTGGGCCACTCCACGGCGTTCTCAGCCTTGGGATCTGAAGTGTTTCCTAGATG